TTAGACAGAAACAACACCAAAGAGGCACAAGTGTTACAAGAATTGGAAGAGCTTACAATAAATGTGTCTTGAGGGCCTGAGACTGAAAAAGAGATCCATAAAAAATGCATTGTTTTCCTTTGCTAGATAATGTCAAAGAGCAATAAAAAGTCAACCATTTTAGATTTATAGTTATAATGAATAAGGTATTGAATATAAATCGGTGGATATTATGTTGAAATTGAATGATGATGCATTATTAAGATCTCTGCTTCTGTCAGCCTGGTGCAAAATATTGCTGCCAGTGAGCTCAGCCCAGAGAAGACCAATTATATTCTAGACCTGCAAGTCATGTCTTTCACCATTTGGCCAAAGGAACTGGATCTAGTTAGTCTTGAACAGAGTAAGCTAGGGACCAAGAGAGGAGTGGGCACATGTCAGTTGACAACTTTGCTGTTTTGATCAACTGATCAAAACAGCAAAGTCACGACCACCAGATCTTACAGTTGTGATGTTTTGTACGTCACAGCCAGAAAAGAAGGCGCTATATTGAAACATCCACCCCACCCGACCAGACGGACTCAAATCGACCCCATTGTTTTCATCACGATCAGTAGTTCAAGTACCAAGTTTGTTGGTACTGTAAACTTCTTTGTAGTCACGTGATTACCTGAAAAACCAAGGCGCTATATCTCGGAAACGAAAGCAGCACTAACGAAGGAGGAGGGTTTCATCGTTTGTGCTGTCTGAAGGGGGGGCAACTTCACGGAGCTCAAGGAAAACCCTGCATGGTATTTTAAATACGATATTTCGGAGGGATTGTGAATCTTGCGTTTTGCATTGTGTTCTTTGTGTTTTGCAATAAAATATTAAGTTCAGAGTAACTCGTAAAACGACTGAACAATTTAAAAGCAGGCATACGAAATACTTAGAACTGTTACAAGCAACACGTGAAAATGAGCTCTTGCAGCTTTCCTTCAGCTAAAGACAAAGTCCTCATATGAGAGACCTTTGCAAACGAGCTGTCATTTGAACGGGAATTTGCCGACTCTCAAGACAGCGACGAGATTATCGCCATATTCAACCCCAAGCCCCCACGCCTGCGTCTGGTCTAGAAGTAGGTCCAGAGGTAGGCACTGATTGTTTTTGTGTGTCCGCCTTGGCACAGTAGCGTTCGGCAGCCTAGGTAATTGTTGCTTAGCCCGTGTGTGAGAAAGAGACACCGTATGTGTATATAAGGTTCCGCTAATTTTGCTGTTTGATTATACCCCAATATAAATATATATCTGTATGCAATATAGGATTGCATTGTAAATCGGAGGGGTGCCCCTATGCTGGCAGGACGGTCAGTTAGAGCCCGGGCCACCCACCTTTGCACAAGCCCACCCAAAACTCAATTCTTGGCTACGCCCCTGGTCATGCCTGGTCAGTGCTGGGATGGGAGACAGCCATGGGAAACTGAGCTGCTGTTGGAAATGTTTATGGTGGGGCTAGCAGGTGGCTCTTCAATCCGTTACAGAATTTCCAAACCTTCGTTCCCTGTGATTCATACAACTATTTGAGATTCTTTGGGGTGAAAGTCTATAAATGCAAGAAATGGTAGTTTTTCTTCTTATCAAATAGTAATGCTAACAGTGACTTCAAGCCATCAAGATCAAGGTTCTCCGAAATGACTGTCAAACTGGGTATGAGTTTTTTTTTTTTGTAGTTTTATTTCCTACAGCACAGCTTTGCAGTGCTGTTGCTGTAACAGGAGCCATCTGCTTTGTGTCCGCGGTGCTGGACGAATTTCAGCCAGAATGTGGATTCAAACATGCCGAGTGAACCACAGCAGCTCATTATTCCACCGGCTGCTTATCGAGAGACCACAGGTGGTGCGGATAGGCAATAAAACATCAACACCACTCACCCTGAGCACTGGAACCCCACAAGGCTGCTGTCTGAGTCCAAGGTTGTACTCCCTATTCACTCACGACGGCACAGCAAGACACAGCAACAACTGCACATTAAGTTTGCCGATGACACCACTATAATAGGACTGATCAGTGATGATGACGAGTCCACTTACAGGGATGAAGTTGTACAGCTGCTTAGGTGGTGTCACAGCAATAACCTGGACTTGAACATAAAGAAGACGAAAGAGCTAATAGTGGACTTTCGGAGACACAGGCCATACACTCACAGCCCACTCAGTATTGATGGAACGGAAGTGGAAACAGTCACCAGCTTTAGGTTTTTGTGAATTCACATCTCTAAAGATCTAACCTGGACTGTGAACACTGACTCTATCATGAAGAAGGCTCAGCAGCGCCTTTATTTCTTGAGGTGCCTCAAGCGATGGGGGATGCCAATACATGTGTTGGTGAACTTCTACCTCTGCACCATCGAGAGCGTCCTCACCAACGGGATCACCGTGTGGTATGGCAACACCTCTTCGCGAGAAAGAAAGGCACTGCAGAGAATGGTCAATATGGCCCAGAAGATCATCGGCTGCGGTCTCACCGAGATTAAACAGCTCTATGAGGACCGCTGCCGTGGTAGAATTGTAGAATTCTGGCCATCACAGAGGACAGTCACCACCCAGGGCATGAGCTCTTCACCCCACTGCCCTCAGGCAAGAGATATAAGAGCATATGGACACTTACCACTAGATTCTTCAATAGCTTCTATCCACAAGCAGTGAGACTGGCGAAATCTTTTAGCCATCCCTCTCGGAACACACCTACACCATCACCATCTACCTCTTTATGATTTCTTATCTATTGCACATCTCCAGTCATTGTTTACACGTCTGTATTGTTTACATTCAAACTGTCTACATGTTTACTTGCACATTGTCTACTGTTTGTTTGTACATTGTCTTGATGCACTGTTTGCACTTTGTTTTGTTTTTTACACTTGTTTTACAATCGAGAGACTTTCTGTAAGTAAGAATTCCACAGTACCAGTACCGGTTACATATGGCAATAAAGTTCAAGTTCACTCATCTTGAAGTGCTAATTTCATTCACCTCATCTTAAAACAGCCCTGGGGACCAGTTTTCCTTGTAGCAATAAACTGAAACGAATTCTGGGAGAATTACTCCCTGAAATACTCCCTGACTTCTTCCTTACTGTAAAGCTGAATTGATTAGGTCATTATTTATTTTTATGGTTCCTTGAACGTGAAACAGAATAAAAGCCAGAGGCTTAATAATTAATCAAGCAACAAGTGGGTGGCACACTGGCCCGTGGGTTAGCACTGCTGCCTGGCTGCTCGATTCTGGATCATGAATCTTCTGTGTGGAGCTTGCATGATCTTCCCTCGGTGCCAGAGTTTCTTTCCACAGGCTAGAGGCAAGCTGGCTGAATTGATTGACATTTCTAAATTGTCCCCTCCATCATAGAAATAAAAAAATGAATACCTGTAAGAGCATGCCAACCTTTTGGATATACTGTACATCTGGAATTTTAACACACCAGTATGAGGCAGTGCGGTGGCTCTGTGGCTCAGGATCTGAGCCTGTGGCTGGGAGGTTGCCGGTTCGTATCCTACGGGCGGCAGAGGAATCCTACTCCGTTGGGCCCCTGAGCAAGACCCTTCACCCCAGCTGCTGCAGGGGCGCCGTATAAATGGGTGACCCCGTGCTCTGACCCCCAGCTTCTCTCCCTGTCCGTGTGAGCGAGCAAGCTGGGGTCTGTGAAAAGACATTCCTAAGACAAGAAACTGTATATTGGCCAATAGAGTGATCCCTTGAAAAAGGAAATGGGCGAATCTCAAGCAGCTCGTTCTGAATGTAACCCTGTGATGGTTTTGCAAATTACTACAAGCTTTGTGAGGGGAATTTGAGATCTTTATTCAAACAGGAGTGAACATGAAAGTCTCTGTCTTTCGGTAAAAAGGAGCAGGTAGAGAGAGATTCCACACTGAAACACACAAATAAATAAAAAAGCCTTAAAAAGCCTGTGGAGCCTTAACAGACACCTGACAAAAACCTTCATAACTGCAATTAATTTTCTATTTCTTTTTACCTTTCAGGTTGGAATTTACCCCCTGCTTGTTCCTTTGGAACTCACCCACTCTGAAGAAAAAGTTCAAGTTGTAAATAATTGCAGCTGTTGTTGGATAGTCAGCATGTACTAAGGACAACAATGTAAATAGTATGTTAACATACTATTATGTTTAGGTGGGTAGCTGTGTCAGCATGCGTAGGCTGCAAAGGAACAAGTAATAGGTTTATTCCTGCTGAAAAGAGAAGAAAGAAAACACAACATTTCGGCCATGGAGCCTTCTTCAGGTGTCAGGTCCATGGCCGAAATGTTGTGTTTTCTTTCTTCTCTTTTCAGCGTTCTATTATGTTAACATACATCAACATAATAGAGTAAATTGAGATATAGCCGCTCTCAAATGGATAATATTTTCTTTGAAAGCAGCAACTTAACATTCAGATGAAAACATTATATTAAACATTTATTCAAACACTATGGACAAACTGGCCTCTATCGAAGACTTGAAGCTGTTTAAATGCGAAAGCACCACTGTAGTGTCCCCTAGTGTTTGACTCGAATATTGTCTACATGCTTTAGTAGGTTAATAAATCAAAACAATCAGGTGGCCTGGCGGTTGTGCAGGTGTCTTGCAGCTCCTGGGCTGAACTCCCAGCTGGAGCTAGGGCGCCCTCTACAGGGAATCTGTGTTCTTTTCCCCTTTTAAAGTCCTGCTGCTTAAGCCAGTTGTGGTCTCGTATGCTTGGTACTGCCCTTTCTTCTGGAAGACTTTACCATGAAAAACAGGCTGTGAGATAATAATGTAGATGTTATTGTCCTTAAGGTGGAAAGCCCAGCGCATCTCCATTAATAATTGGAAGCACGTGATCATGAAGATGAGTTAAGGCTTAACTGAACCCCTTTAACCACACGTGCACAGGTCTGAGTCAAGAGAAGGCCTGTTCTGCATATTATCTTCCCCAGCATAAATGGACTAAAACCAATTTTCATTTGCTACAATTTCCCAGTTTCATAAATATTCAGGAAACAAAAGAAAACATTTTCACAATAACCCTTTTTATTGAAATGCCAATTGAATTGCACTTCCTCTCTTTTTTAAAACTTTTTTCCAACACCTTCATAAACCATTGCTCTCCCTGTACAAAAAGCCCATCTTGACCACAGTGTCAAAACAGGAGCTCGTCTTTGCCTCCACATACATTCCACTGTCCAGCTTCTGGCAGCCTCATTTTACCCTTGTGCTTCAGTTTGCAGTTTTATGAAACCTTTAAAATCCATCAGCCATTTTCCCCAAATTTATCACAAAGCAATACAAAAATCCTTAGGTCTTGCAGGGAATACAGTAATTCCAATATATGACAAATGCAGTCCCATATTTACAAAAGTACTTTTCTTTATTTTACAGGGTATTTATGCACTGAAGAAATTTAATTTGTTCCTGTATACATCTCCATGAGCACTGCAGAAAAGCATGTAAAAGTGAACACTACACTCAAACCAACTTAGTGTTGCCCGGACTCTCATTTCCTTAAAGCCTGTCCGCCCTATATCTCCATCATCACCTGTTAGCAGTCAATACAAAGTGGCACTTGTTTCATTAATTGACCTTTGAGGTAGGTAAATTAAGAGATTTACTTGCATGGTCACTTGTTATCCAAGACCAGCACAATTCTGAATGCAATGAAGCTGCCCCCTGCACCTGTGTGAGTGGTTTTTGGGTAAAGATGAAACATTGAAACTAGTAAAATCTGGAATGTTACAACTTAATGGAGAACTTTTTTGTTCTGGTGGAAAACAGAATCATAAATTCCCTTCCAAGATTCTCATCTAATTCATCAAGGGATTCATTAGCAAGTTGTGGTTTATTTGAAAAATATTTTTAATTGAAATTAAGTTTAGTAGATTTTTAATTTTTAAGCCTTTTTAAAATAATTTTAAATTGAAGAAACTTGTCAAACCATTTCTGTAAGCAGTGTTCAATAATAACGTGTTTTTTTAGCATTGCTTTGATTGGCATGTTTAAATATTAACAAAAAACATGCTTTGCCGCAGACATCTCTCTCCCCAAAATCTAGCTCGTTACAACACTCCCAGCCTTCACTCCTTCTCCGTCAGTGTCTACAGCTGCCCTCTCTCCCTCACACACGATTTTATCCATGGAAAGAAATGGCTTCAGGGACTGGAGAAGATGTGGGTAGACTACTTTTCACTGAACAGGAAAAGCTTTTTCTGCACCCCAAATTCCAATGTTTTATATAGACCAGTATATATTTTCCATTGTAGATATAAAGGAAGCAATTTATTCAAAAAACATTTATACAATTATTTATAATTGTATAAAGAATACAATGTAATCCTGCCACAGACAACAAATACCTAAACTTTGTTTTCCAGTGATAAAGTAGATGGAGCATTTGGCTCAAATTTGCAACAAAAAAGGGATTTGGGTCACTAGTGGTCAACAGTGTGGGGCAAGAACCTCTTACTAACCTTCTAGACAACTCCATTGTGGTTCAGAGACTGAAGGTGTCCTGTCTAACCCTAGCACAGCTCTTGAAGAACGCTTCTCCCTGCGTTTGCTGAAGAGGTGGTGGCACAGATACCTCCGGGGACTAACTGCACAGTCCTGCAGAGCAGCCTGGTAGATAATACTGTTGCTCCACCACACAGTGTCGCGCGAGTCCTACAGATTCTCCTGCCTTCCCGTACGCAAGACCGGCCTGCATCCATCCAAACGTTGCCCACTCCGCCCAGGGCATTCAAAAGCAGAGGACCTGGAAGGGCAGGGAGGCACTGTGGAAAGTGCTTGAAAAAGTAAGATATAATTTTTCATATATATTTCTAGTTATATATTCATATATTTTTAAATAAATACTTTTACGGCTAGAATTAGTTTCATTGCAATACTAATTTCTAAAAATCCATTTCTGAAAATAAAAATGAGCTGTTAACTTTTAAAGGAAAACCATGCCGTTTCTTGCAGTGATTTGTTTTATGTTGCATAGATGAGAGTTAGGAGATATCAGTGGAGCATAAGCAAAAACCAACTCATTGTTGCAGAGAGGAAATTGTTTATCAAAACGGGTCTGATGGCCATAAAAATGAATGCCTCTATGGACTGGTAACGGGTGAGTTTTAACATACAGCTAGCCTTCTGTATCACGTCTTACCTTGAACTCAAGACCAGGTATAAATAACACATTTTCATTACATTTGTTCTTAAAAAAAACTGTCAACTAGCCAGAATATAGGTGTGGCGGGGTGCCGAAGCCACACAGCTCAGAGTTCCAGCGTGAAACCTTCAGACACCAAGTTGTTTTATATGCCAGCCTAGACACAGCACACAGTCATTGCTTTGACGTCTTCTTGCAAAACAAACTCCTTACCGATTTACTGCTCTCAACAGCAGTGTAGTAGTCCTTAAGGCCCTTATCCATTAAAACTGCTCTGCAGCTTAATGACATTTTCTCCACGTGTCGTCTCAGCTTAAACAGGCATCACTCTTTTACTAAACACAAAGTTATTAAAAAGCAAGTTTTAACTCCCCGAATGAAGCACAGTCTCCAAATCAAAGAAAAAGAAAAAACGTTACAGGTGTTTCCACTGCGGGGACTGCAAACATCCTGGATGCAAAAAGAGGCAACTTCAGCTGTTCTTTTTTTTCCATTTTTGGAAGAAAAAAAAAAGATCTCAACTTAGAAAGTAGAGAGACCTTAACAAGAGTGCAGGTAAACAAAAAGGTATCTTAAAAACCAGAGATTAAAATAGAACGAAAGAAAAACGTGGCGCAAAATCCCAGACAACATTCCAGATCCCAGCCAGGCGTGCGATTTGCCCGCTTCCCGATGGCCACTCTGCCCATCTGTCCCTCGAGTCTGTCTCCTGTTCCTCAGCAGAGAAGACCAGCCTGCTACCCAAACGACCTGACCGCTCATTGCGTTTCTCTCCCTCTTCTTTACATGATCTGCGAGACCGCGCCGAAGGTCCTTCTCTGCTGGAGCCATCGCTGCACTGGTGTCACCGGAACTCGTATATGGGAGCACTGTGTTCGGGAACATGCGTGAGATTCAAGGACTGGTACCTGTGTGAGCGGAGAATGGAAGGCGTCAGCCAAAGGCAGGTCAGCATTCCAGCAAGAATAACTCCGGCTAATACACATTCACTGAGTTTCATGAACCAGTGATAAAACTGGACATTACGTTATTAGTCATGCAGTTGTTTAAGACTCGGCTCTCCAGCAATGATTCCTCTCCCTTCCTGGGAAACAGCGACATGTGGACATACCACTCCCACAAAACCATCTGAGAAATTAGATGCGCTAAAATCTACACAGTACCTGGCAGAAGAGTAAGCACTGACTGAGGTTACTGCAATCCTGCATGTTCTTCGCAGGGAGAATCAAAGTCCACTGCTTTCTTTAATGTTTCTTTTCCCAGAATGTCATCTGAACAGCAAATTCAGTTCACTATCACAACACCCTTTTAAAACAACCAACTCAGAAGCAAGTTAAGAATACTTTACGGAGAGGTCTCGCTCGTAAACGACAATGTGAACGTGACAGAGAAAAACGTCAGGTTTCATTCCTACCATTCTGAACTTCTGTGATAGTAATAGCCCTCAATGGTAGCTGTGGATTTCTGAAAGCAGATGTAATAAAACCCTGCAAAGGAAGCACCACTGATGTCCTTGATTGTGTGATCTGGGACTAAAAACTGCTCCTGTGGGAGGGTGGGAACAGATAATAAGAGAATTAAATGCACTGGACACAGGGAAGGAAAACTGCACACGTTTTTGCAACTCTGAAAGACCTTCCAATTTGTCATTCCCAGGTGACAGAGTTTACAAATCCCATCATATTGTGTGGACCGTACAACAGTAAACCATTTCTTCTGAATTATCAATAGGGAGGCAGATCAGTGCATCGGAAACAGTACCTTCTGATTATTATCCCTGCAACAATACTTATACATGTTTGAGAACAGCAACACATTCTTTCATTTCTGACCGAAAAATCCTAACCTGGTCACAAAAAACCTTACTTGAAGTACATTTTGTATTTAAAAACTAAATTCAGTTTTGCAATCGGCATAGCTCAAATGTTTGAGAAGACATCCTGCTTGGTTTCAGCTTTTTATTCTATCTTTACTGCTTGAAAACTACTTGAAAACTAAAAGGAAAATGCTACTGCTTTTCCAAAGCAAATAACTTATAATAAAAAACAATCCCAAAGAAACAACTTTAAATAAACGGTCTCACCTTCCACCTCATGAAGACATAGTCACTGTTTTTCAGCTCTTCATAATCAAAATCATCAGAGTTAAATGTTTTTGCATACTGATAAAAAGCTTGGAACTTGCCCTGAGGAGAGAAAAAATAGTTTTGAACAAAAAAAATACAACATTGTTCCCAGCAAGCTGCACAAGTTAAAATTATATTTATTGAAAGTGAGAAATGTGGTATTTTGCATGCAGGTTTGCTTGTGCAGCACACTACAGTAGTTCATCTATTTGTCAAAAAATCTAATTAGTGAACCAGTCATTTACATTTATCACAAAACTCAGCTGTACTGGACTTGATACAGAACTAAGACTCTAAATTGATTTGAGCAGGGGATCTTTGTTTATACCCAATGTTTGCGATCAACATCTTCGTCTGCATCCCATTTCCGTGTTAAAAAGGGGCGTTTCTTGCTGATGATTTCTCCAGCGAAGAATGTAGTAAGTGTTGGGTACTCCTGTGAGGAAAAATAAAAGTAAAAAAGACAACTGATGGGGAAAAAAGAAACAGCTGTTGTCTTATGTCTTTCAGGTCAAAGACGGGTTGTCAATGAGCAATGGGGTTTAGCTACAAATATGCTTAAACAATTTGTTTTGTGATGAAGGGGCATCTTATAAAGCAACAATCCACTAATAGCTGAACTCAGAATCTCCCAACCAACTTCCAAATATTAGTTCAGCACACTGGATATTGCCCCAGTAATGGATCAGCCAAGTCCATATTCATTTAGCCTTCCAAAACTTCACCTCGATCTTAATACCAGCACCCCCTCATATAGCAGCCAATACTCTCCTCTATGGGCTACTGATGCTCACAGAACACAGCCCCTCCTGGAACAGCAGCTCTTCCTCTGAACCACCCCACCGACAGGTGAGGTATGTTTAACAGCAAAAAAAGTCACCGTAAAAATGGAGCCCCAGTGAAAGGAACTGCACATCAATCAGATCTGAGTAAAACCCTGTATGGCAGAAGTCTGAATGAGAACAACTGCTGCTACTGAATAAATATAACCAAGGCTGCAAGTTCCAGATGACGCAGAAATGCAACCTTAACCCGCCAGAAATACTTATCAACTGTGAAAAAGAGAAAACCAGAGAACTGGCACAAGCGACAACAAAGGAAGCAGAAACGTGAAGGTACCAGCTCGGCAGGTGTAAATCTCCCTTCAAACTGAACACCACAACACTCCCGTGAGCCACAGCTGTCTGAATCTCACCTCTGTCAGTCCTTTGATCTTAAGGTACCCGCACAAGTACGAGTCTTCCATCGTAACGTGCTGTCAAGGCAAAAAATGACAATATCGTCATGACAGCCAGTTCGGAGCATTACAACACGGTCTCAGATTTGAACTACCTGACTAAACAGCGGCATTGTTTTTAAATATTTGAAGCATGAGTCAAACACTGTTTCAATGTGAATCATCGGGGCTCCAACAGTTCCAACTTCCATCGGAGTCTAATTACTGGTGCTCAGAACCTACATACCTAGTGAGGCAAGGAATGACAGGCCCTCACTGCAGCCCCTGCTGCTTCTGCAGACCTACTTTGTAATTGAGGCTAAAAATCCAGTTTTTCTAAGCCAAGTGTGACACTTGAGACAATTTTAATTAACCCAGCTTCCGACACTAAAAACCCTTCCTCTGAGAGTGACTGCACAAGAAGAAAAGTGTATAATTTACCTTCAGCAGCACACATTTCACAAATTGATGTGTTGCAATATCATGTGCGCATGTTGTAGAGGAATGGTGAGCTTTAATAATAATAATGCAAACAGGTAAAGGTTTATTCCCCGCTGAAAACCGAAGAAAAGAAACAACGTTTCGGCCGTGGAGCCTTCTTCGGGTGACACCTGAAAAAGGCTGCACAGCCGAAACGTTGTGTTTCTTTTCTTCCTCTTCAGCATGGAATAAACCTTTACCTGTTCCTTTGCAGCCTACGCATGCTGAGCTGATGCAGCTATTATTAAAGTAGTTCAAGTAGGTAATGTGACTGAAATGCCACATCATTGCCGGGCAAAATACAAGCACCTTTGCTGGACCAGTTTCACAGAGTTCATTTTAACCTCCTATAAAACTCTCACAGTCCGAGGTACACTTTGTATGTGACAAGGATCACGTCATTTACAGCGCAGGTCTGGCTGCTGTGACGACTATGAAGAGGGCAACTGAGGATCTGGATGTCTTCAGTGACTGTTGTGCTTTTGGTACCAAGCCTAACCTGAAAAGCATAAGCCTTAGAACCTCCAATATTGTTGTATTTAACACTTATAAATTATTTTAAGTCAAACAACACACTCCTAGGAGGTTAGAAATTGCTACAGTCGACTTTTTACTGGGGCTGTTCGAGCTAAGAAGAAGTTCTCAATAAAACTGAAACAGTGAAAGATTGAAAACAAAAACACCACAATCCACCTCGATAACACCACAGGGATAAGAACGATTTCAACACAACTTAATGTGAGATTGATCTCAACTGAGAAACGCGTCTACAAGTTTTTAGTTAATCACCTCCCCAGTGATATTAATACGTCTATGATAATATTACGTCGTTTTACTGGCCAGATTGTATGTTAGTCGATGACACTAGGCTCCGGTATAAATACTGTTCGTTTCTTACTTACCTGCAAAACAACCTCGACATCGTACGAATTCCCTTTGCTCTTCTGGTGTCCGCGGAACTTGGAGCCGCTGTACAGGAGCGAGGTGGCGACACCCGGCTGCTGCGTGTTGATTGGGGGAGGCGGGATAAGCGAGGCCGAGGCTATAAAGGCCGCACAGGCGGTACTGCAGCACTCGGTCCGGACCGGCATGTTTATCACGTCTGAAGGTCGCCCCAGCTATGGCCGACGTACGCCACAGAGACGGTAACAAAAAGGGGACAGGGGGAGAACTGTCGAGGCGGCTCACCGACTCACGAATTCTCCCCAGCCGCCGAGAGATGCGCTACCAGGGTCCCAGCAAACAGTAGGGACCTCAACGCAGCACCACGCAGCAACATCCCGCCAGCCTATTGGCCAGGGGAGCGCACTTGGCAAAGAAACCGCCGCTCATTGGATGGCCTTCTGAAATGCATTTTGGGACTTGTAGGTCTTCTAGCCCCGATCTGTAGTTTTTCCTCCGTTCTCCCGCAGTCGAACTCCACCTCCCATAACCCACCTCAGTGACCTTCGGACTGTTTCCGCCCCGTTCCTCAGGTTTCCCAGCGGCCATTGGAGAGCGTGTCCGAGGAGCAGTGACGCGCTTGAGGTCACTGACATGGCGGCGCCCATGCGGTTGAGCAGGTTATGACTGACCCTGGGAATGCGATTCTTTAAAGGGGAACACGTCCAAAAACACCATTAAAATATATGTGTATTGATTGCCGGGTAACTAGGATTCGATAATGCAGTGTGATAATGCATAATTTAATCAAGTGTCATAAGTCCCTATGACATGCTTTAATGCTTTGGTTACCCTGCAAAAGCGCATGAAATCGATTTGAGGTCGTGATTCCCGAAATAAGAAGAATCTGTCAGAGAGATGTTGCGGGGTCTGGCCCGGTTGTGCAGGAGAGGCGGCACCGCTGTCCAGTCACCGTGCGGCTGTGTCGCTGCAAGCTCGCCGGCATACTCTACTGCGACCCCGGGTAAGAGCCGGGTTCTGCCCGGCGTGTGGGAACTCGTGTCGCTTTGTTAGTCAATCGCTGATTCCGATGTAATTGCACAACAAGCTGGATGCCCGTAATGCGGCAAATGTATTCTTGTGTTCCGTTCTTACACAACCATGGTGACGTCTCTAGGTTAGATCATGAAAATACATTCTCTCTGTTTTTAATTGCCCGGTTTAATCAGATATTCGTATTTGCTTGTATCCACAGGGAGGAAGAAGTTCTACCAGGACGTCAGTATTTCACAAGGAGAAGGTGCGGTATGAAACACATCCTGTTTTTTTCCTGAGGTAGACTGTAACAGATAACAGTTTTGTTTTAATATTGTGTCTCCTTTTTGTATTTATGACGATTCAATAAAAACTAAAAAAGAAAGAAAGAAACGACAGCAAGCCGTTTGGCTGATCTTGCCCGTCTCCAGCAGAGCTGTATTTGTCTTGTATTTTGTATTGTTCTGCAAGTGGATAAGTGTGTGAAACAGTGTCTCAGTGCTCCGCTGTGGTGAGGAATGTGCAGACGAGGTCCGGATCGGCTCAGGCTGAGTGATGTGCCGTGCTGTTCAGCGCCCGGTCTCCTGCGCCTGCAGGTGGGCTGTTTGAGATAAACCTGGACCGCGGGAAGCTGAAGACCCCGGGAGGGAAGTTGTTCACAGTGCCCAGCGAAGTCTTGGCAGTTGCCGTGGCGACGGAGTGGGATTCCCAGAAGGACACTCTCAAGTTCTACACGATGCACCTGGTAGGAACCTCAGCTCGCAGCGGGCAGCGTGTGGGGCCTGTGTCCTGAGAGTCCTGTCCAGGGTGTATCCCCCACTGTGGCCACTGCCTGCCGGGATTTGCGTATTAACCTCTGGAGTCAGAAAACCATCAGCCACTTGTGTACTCATTTAGTTTCCACTGGGTTCTTTTGTATGATCGGAAGCCAAAGAAATCCCCGAAAGGAACCATTCTGGTTTATTCCAAAGGGAATAAACTCTTAATTCTAATTAGGACAATATTCCAGCATTCAGGAACCCGAATCTCTGGAAGTTTCTCTTGAGATGTTGAAGGGCTGAGGTAACAGGCCCCGCTCTGTCTCTCCCAGACCACACTGTGCAACACGGCTCTGGACAACCCCACTCAGAGGAACAAGGAGCAGGTGATCACAGCCGCGCTCAAGTTCCTGGAGACCGACACCGTCTGGTGAGTCGGGAGTGGCCGAGCTGCGCACTTTCCCTGGCACTCGGCACCATGGGGTGGGCACAGGCTGTGCCAGTCAAAAGGCAGGCTTGGGGTGGAAGAAATTTATCTGAGCCTGTAATTAGGGTCCCTTTCCTCTTCCCTTGAAACCACTCTTTTGCCAGCTGTCTGTGTTCATGGTCATTTCCGTTGTTTTGCTTTACTGTGTCAAGGGAGCAGTCTGGCGCAGACTTCAGACTCTTACTTTGCTGCCTAGTGTTTGTGTTCAGATCCCTGTGACAGGGGCTGGCTCCTGAGCTGCGGGTGATGGTTGTTTCACTGGTTTCTTTCTGCCTCCGGGCAGCTATAGGGTGGAGGAGCCCCCAGGGCTGGTGGAGCTGCAGAACAACGAGTGGGACCCCGTACTGGACTGGATTGAAAAGAGGCAAGTCTAGAAAGAGCTGCAGAGCTCAGGAGTGAAGAACATTAGAGCATACAGTGCAGGGTCAGGGCAGGTTTGTAACTAGTTTTAGAATAGAAATAAACATAACGTGATTTTGATGAGTCAACCGTGGATTTGTTTTAATTGCATAACAGATACAGCAGCGGTCTTTAACCCAGCTTCTGGAGAACTACATTGTTTTCTAGCTTTGATAGCATTCCAGAATTCTCCTACAGGAATTTATCATTTGCTAATGATTAGCCAATCATTTTGACACCTTTTAAACTAGAATACAGCAGGACTTCACAGGACGGTGGTTGTATTCTGAAAACTGTCCATCAATTAGCTGTGTCACTGACACCTTTCATATGTGTATGTGTGCTGTCCTGACACCTGATTACCACCACAGACCTGAGCTCGTTACTGATTGTTTTCCTCACAGGTATAATGTTGTGATCGGCTCCTCCTCCAGCATTATGGGCCCTTTGATCCCTAAGGAGACGAAGGCCACTTTCCGACAGCACCTGGCCTCCTACAACTTTTGGGCTCTGATAGGTACGGCTGGGAGCGCTGCCACAGTCTGTCTGTGTAAAACCAGTCACCGCTGAAAACACCCAACATCTGTCGGTCGAATTACATGCAATCATTTAGTATGAGAAGCAGGTACACATTGTCATAGATCCTTGTTTTCTTTAAAAAAAGGTAGAACACTTGCAATAATTTGCGTGTGCGTGTCTAAAACTCCTGTAGCTGGGGAGAAAGCGTAATTGTAGTTTTTAAATCCGTTCAGGAAGTGATCATTCCTGTGCCCGTCCACCCTGTCTGAACTTTGTGCTTTGTCCCTCAGGGCTGGAGTTTGTGATCGCGCAGCTCAAGTCTCTGGTGTTGTCTTTTGGGCTGATTGACAGACATCTGACTGTAGAGAAGGCTGTGCTGCTGTCCCGTCTAGAGGAGGAGTACCAGGTGTGTGTGCTGTCCTGACACAGCCTTAAAGAATCCTTGTCGAACAGCATAGCACCACTCTGTGGTTCATATACATATGCATAATGAGAAAGATTAGCTTCCTTGTGTTGTCATTAAGTTTCATATTTAAGTCCTTAGTAGTTTATCCTTAATGACATCATCCATTCTGCTAATGTGCTAATCTAGACTAAGTAGTCATACGTATTGTGTTGTCTGCGTTGTAGGCCAACATACAAGGTACAAATTTATATATAACTATAGGAATCCCATTCTTTAAAGTTCTTTAGAATCTTCGATTAACCTTCATCAGCTCTAAGTGGGGAGGAGAGCAGAGTGATGAATCCAGTTCAGAGAAGGGGTTTATTAGGAGGCCATGATTTGTAAAGGCCTGGGATAAACTTGGCCAGGACACCGGGGTAACACCCCTGCTCTTTTTGAGAAATGCCCTAGGGTTTTCACTGTCCACGGAGAGTTGTAGCGCAGTCCTGCTGCCTGCACTGTGTCCTCAGGACTGCTGTCAAGCCTTGCGAACGGCTGTGTGTCCGTCTCCTCCTCAGATCCAGCGCTGGGGTAATGTGGAGTGGGCCCACGACTATGACATGTACGAGCTCCGTGCCCGCACGGCCGCTGGCACGCTATTTGTGCACCTGTGCTCGGAGAGCTCCACTGTCAAACACAAGCTCCTGCAAGACTGAGGGCCTGGCCATCGACACAGTGCAGCAAGGACACACTCACCACTGTAGGGCCAAGGTCTGTCAGAATGCATCACGAGTTGTACAGGAGTCGTTTTAAGCAAATGCTTGGATCTTTTCGGGAATCACGAGAATCCAGATTTAAGGTTGCATGGATGTTTTTCTTTCTTACAGGAATGTCTCTGATGAATTTGTATTTTATTTCACCATTAAAACACAAATTATGACAAACTTTTTTTTTGTGGAGCTGTTGTTCTGGAGATTACATCTCTAACCTGAAGGTGGCACTGTTGTTTTATCAAGCAGATAGGGAATTAACTGGGAGGGAGAGTTATTTGAAAATGTGCACTGCATCTAACTAAATAAAATTCAAGAGAAGTGAATTACCAGTGATTAAAAGCATCTATTCCCTAACTGGGTGCTTTGTAATCCTTAGTGTCAACGATGCCTATGGGGTACTAGTACCGTAATGCATTCCTAAATGGTCAGTCTGAATAAGAGAAACAGGATTCATTTGTGTTGATTCATTTCCCTGAAGTAAGGTTTTTCTTTTGCTTGTACTTAGTCTGGCACAGACACTAGATATTAAATGCAGGTTAGAATGACCTAGTTTGGCGGGGTACAGGCACTGATTTTGTTTTCAGCCATGAAACTTACTGCAAATCCCATAATCTCCTTAAACTGTGATGTTTCATTATTTTAAATGGAAGATAACCCAATTTTCTCAGAGGTGGGGTATGTTGCTTTTTTATACAAGTGTTTTACACAGTGCACATATTATATATTAAAATAAGAAATGTGGAATTTGTTTAAAAAACACTTGTCTATTTTTACACCCTGCAGGTCCTCTGTTGTCCCTTGTAGGTCCTCTCTGTGTCCTGGTGCTCTCCCAGCATCTTTCCAAGTCCCTTTTCCTTCCTCTGACTGTGCTTCCCAGTCTCTCTCCCTACAGGGCCTCCTGTAGACCCAGGTCATCCAACTGGTCCTTCAGGTAGTCAATATAGTTGTGAATCTCAGAGACACGCTTGCGGTTTCTCTGCACCTCTTGGTTGTGGATCTGATTGAACAGAAAACCATGTTCAAGGCAGTTCTGAGGCATAACAGGAAAGAAAATACCTCTTAAATATGCTGCAATGTGTGCTTTTCTGTCCAGCAATGTGGAGGCCTAGGGCCTTTCTTGGGATATTGTGTGCAATGTGCTTCTGTAAAACAACGCCTTAGGAGAAAGAATAATCCCAATTTATTCTCGGGCTCTAAATTTAAACCTTTGCCCACCTGTGGCTTGCAAATTGTAAATTTAGTCCTTCAGAATGGGTTTCTGTTTGATCGAAGCAAGAAACAAGTGAAAATAAAATTTCGCATCAAGTATAAGGGTTGTCATTTGTGACTGATCGAGAAGTTTTAATGTGATGCAGGCCTGAAACTACCTGGAAGCATGAATTTGCATATGTCTGTGCAAAGCCTGTTGTTCTGTACCAAGGAGATAATACTTTCCACAGTTTATGCTATAAAAACTTAAATCCTCCACCATCAAAGCCCCCATTTTTGCTCCCAGGCCAGTTTGTTCTCTAACCGTGACCCTTTCTGCTTCCGGCTTGTACTTGATGTTCAGACTTAGTCACTGCCACGGCGTAGTCAGAGATGTTATAAAAAAAGGAAGGAAAGCTGTGTTGCTCTCCATACGTACAGCTTACTGATTAGAGGACCTGGCCAACATTTACATGGAGGGTTTTAGCAAACTGGTTTGGGTTTGGCATTTGCAATCACTCACTCCCGTTTGTTTTACGAGGTTCCCACTTATTCAGTCGCAAGTTGGCTCGGGTGGTGGTGCTGTGATGTGCTCGCCGCAGGATTTTTACCTTCTCCACCAGCGTGGCGGTCCAGGCATTGATCCGGGTCACCAGTTCGTCCTCGCGGTTATCGATTTTCAGCAGGTGTGTGTCGTGAGAGGCGCTGACTGCGTTGATGACCGTGTCCTTATCCACAAAGAGCTACGGGAGCAGGTTAGAGAGATGTGAGAGAAGAGGTGAGTGCTGGTGTACAGAGCAGACTCGGGGACTGCAGGGAGATTTTAAATCTACTGGCTCTGTCATGTCAGAAATGGTCATAGTTCCTGGTAGGTAATGGGCATCACATTTCCTGTCCTAGTTTCTTGATTTTTGTAACCTAGCTAGTAATGTCCTTTAGCTGCAAAGGTCAGCCTTGGTCTAGTAAGACTTGAGTTTGAGAGGCCACCTAACGCTACAGGGAGAGGCGAATTAAGAGGCGGGGCAGGATCGATGATGGGGCCTCTGGTGAAGGGCAGGGGGTGGCCAGTGCCTGGGTACCGACCATGCGCACGTCATCAGGCATATCCTCCTCCAGCTCGTTCTTGGCCACTTTCTCTAATGTTGCTACAGCGATCTCCAGCAGCTTCTCATGGTGGTTGTTCTCTAGGTCTCTGCACTGGGTGAAGGTGAGAGCCCGTTAAGGAAGATTTAATAAACAACCGGGCCTGTAATACTTAGTGCTTTAGTAAATTTAGGGTAGTTCTTGAATACATCCTACTCCTCAGTTAGACTTCTGAGCAATTCCTACAGAAAGTCAATGAGCTTGTTGTGGAGTGAAGATCTTTAGGTCCTTAGTGCAGAAAGGACTGGACTAGATGACATTGAGACTTCAGTGCCACAGTACACCGTTCAGACCAGCATGTGGCCATAGGAAAGGATATATCCCCTGCACCACCTCGATGAACCCGTTCACCATGTCTGAAATGGTCCTCTCAAAGTCCTTGATGATGTCCTGAAACACCAACATATAGCAGAGACCGGTCAGTAATTGAAACAATTATTCCTAGAAGTAGTACGAAACTCGGCTGGATTGAAAGTATGCCAGGGTGTCTGTTCATGTCTCCCTCCATCCTTAAAGCACCAGATCAATCCCCTCGCCCCTGCCGCGGATTCACCATCTCACCTCCAGCTGGTCAACCAGCTGCAACTCCAGGGTCATGAGACAGTCGCAGAGCTGGTTGACCTCCTCACTGCTCTCGGCCAGCCTCATCTCCAGCAGCCTCGCGTCCGACAGCTGCTGCAGCTCACCGAGTACCTGCGCCAAAACAGAGGAGAGCTGATGTCTGGGTTTCTGTGTGCAGAGGTGAGGCTTTATTTTGCAAGAGCATAGAAGCTTGGGATGCGTTTTGATTTTGTGATCTCCGTCAGCAGCCTGAAGGAAGTTAGACATGGAAATCCCTCCAGCTGCAGCGATGAAGAGCAGGGCACACACAGATATAGCATGGACTGATCTCGTAAGCATGAGGCTACACAGATTAAGTGGTGGGAATGTGGAACAGAGTAATAAAAAAAGTCCTCAAAGTCTACTATCCTAGGTAAGAACTGGGTAATGTGGAGAGACTGGAGTCACTGATGATCATTTTTAAAAAGCAGTAAACCTTAAAAAGAAGTTCTGAAAACACATCTTATGTTTCAAACATCTGCACTAAATATGTGTCTTTCAAGTAGCTGTTATAATGAAGGCTGTTGGTTTCTTTGGCCTCTGAGGGGATAAGAAGTGAAATTGTGTTCTGGTGAGCCTGCTGAGGAGGGTGACGAGTCCAGAATGGGCGCTGTAAGAGGATTTGACTGTTGCTTGTCGTCAAGTGGATTGAACAAACAGTCAAATCTAACTGCTTGTGCAGAAGACTGTATTTCTAAGGAACACCCTTAATTAAGCACTGATAAACATTAAATGTTCTCCAAGGATAGGTTGTTTGGATCGGAGTTATACCAAGCTTTTTCATCAGAATTAACTGCAGGGGACTTCAAAGTTTTCTTCGAAGAATATAGGCCAGTTGCTTTATATTGAATGCCAAGCAGTGAAGCACGGACATTAAGAAAAGCAGAATGGGTGCATTTGTGTCAGAATGCCTGAGGAAAATGTTGTAACTGCCCTGGCCAGCAAAGAACACACACCCACAAGTCCAAATGGCTGCAGTGAAGAGAGGGAAGCTGCAGTATTTCGGACGTGGGGTAAGACCAGAAGCTATATTAGAATTGTCAACGGAAACTGAGGCAGAGAAAAACAACCTGAGTGACAAACGTAACATTGTGGGCAAAACTGCCAGTAACCACAGCCCACAGGGCAGCTGAAGAAATAAACAACTGGCTGTGCAGCATCCAGACTGCAGCCCAGTGCTGAACGGGGGAAAGGGGCAGATGATGATGGAACACATTTATAGAAACATCCAGGTGTTTATATATTCTCATTTCACACAAGATTTATCTGACAAAACATTAGATAAAAAATTATCCACCTTGTGGATTCATTCATTTAATTATTTTATAATCAGACCAAATCTCTGTGTTTATGCCACATGGGTGCAGATCTGGGAAACGGAAAAATACAGTAATTGCTGCGACATCAACACAGCTATTCCATGAGACCCCAGAGGGAGATGAATCTGAGAAGAGCACAAACATAAAATACATTGAGACTGCAGTACGTGCTGTTTTATGACAGACTTCATAAGCATTTCCGATTCAACGACTGTTCCTGAACAGCAGAAATATCTTCATCATTCTTTGTGCAAGGAGGGCATTTTCCACTCCTCGCTAATCAAAAACTCAGTGCAAACGCAGAAGGGATGGATGGCTGGCTTGAATGTGAGCTCCTGCAGGAGCTAGCTCCTTCAGAACCGTGTGCTTTCATTATCTGATGGATTTATAGGAGCTTGTTCCTGTTTTTGAGTTAAACCTAGTGTCTCATCCCCATACGGCAAGGAGAGAAGATTTATGTTTTAGATGCAGTGATGGACACTGTAGATGTTTTATGTTGTTACTGTGTCTGTGTGCATCATGTGCTTTGTTTTATTTGTGGATTGGCCAAGACTTGGCATGATGTGGGGACAAGTATTTCTTAAAGGTTGAGGGTTAAAATTCTTTTTTTTTTCTTGCTTTATATTTCTGTTTGTATTGTAAGGATCCCTCTAAGTGAACTACAACAGGATCCAGAATCCTGATATCTGATGAGAAAATGTTACCCTTTTTGGAGAACTAACCTATGTGATCTCCTGTCCTCCACCAACCCACCTCTCTTCTGCTCTTCTCAAAGGTGGCCACTTTCTGCGCGGCTCTCTCCTGGTTGTCCTTCACGGCATCGTGGACACAGTCGAAGAACGCACTGACGTCTGCCTCTCTCCTCTTATGTTGTGCCAGCCCCACCTCAAACACCTGCTGGCAATACGCCACAAACTGGCTCTTGTAGGTGAGCAGTGGGTTAAGGACTGTGACTTGTTTTACTGGTTAATTTTCAAGAAGAACAAACAAATGTGCTCCATTGTAGTACTGCAGAATGTCTGTCTTGTATATTGTGATATATCTTGTGTTTTGACAGAGCAGTCACAATTAGGAACAAGACAACTTTCATGTGGTAATAGCTATAGTGAACGTAACATTTCTGAAATCCCGAGCTACAACAAAAGTCTTGATTCTGTTCTTAGTAAACATTAAAAATGAGACCTAACATTTGCATACTTCCCTGAGTCTGAATTTCCAGTGTTGACCTGTGCGGGTGGTATTATCCCTTTATTTGGGAATGTTTCGAATGCCCAGCTGGCAGCCGTGTGGCGCGCCTGCAGCAGCAGCAGTATGTGGTGTTGCTGGCAGCATGGCAGCATGGTGCAGTGGCAAGAGGATATGAATCAAGGAGCTGGGCCACTCCAGGCAGGTAGGCCAGCTTGGCCGCCTCGGGGTCCTCCATGAACATGCTGTCGAACAGAAAGGACCCGTTCAGGAACTCCACACAGGCAGCCTGTCAGACAAGACGACATGGGGCTCAGTGAGCATTGGAGGTGTCCTTGATTTTTATTATTACTTGTTTTTGCTGTATTTTGTGCGTTTTCATAGTTATGAAGGTCACTGGGTTCTCTACACGAAGAAAAATGTCTTTGCACCAGGCAAGTTGCATAAACAATGGAATTGAAAAGCTGGCTGGACTTTGTGAGGCTTTTAGATATGAAATGATTATATACCAGTTCTATCTGGATATAAAAAGCCTTTGTTGTTCTTTATTCGTCTATATCAGTTTGAACATAAGCAATTTTACTCGTTTTTGAATGTCAGAAATATTATGTGAGATGGGCACAAAGGGGAGAAAATTAGCACAGGGCATGGTTCTGCGTCCTGCCTGCACTCCTGGGTACCTTGTGCAGCTGCAGCTCCTCCGCCTGCCTGCGCAGCTCTGCCTGCGTCTGCGCCTCCTGCGCCTCGTTCTGCGTCATCTCCTCGATGGCGTATTGGTACTGCACGCAGGCCACCTCGCGCTGCGGCACAAACACACACTCTCAGCGCCAGTCAACACTGCGGCTGTGCCCTTCCTCCTCGTGATGTAGTTCCAGCTTGACCCTTAAATGTACCAGCTTCCAGGACCATCAGTCATGGTCCTGAGATTCTTAGGATCTGCTAATTACTTAAATGATCAGTCCAACATTGACTTAATTAGTTTTACGTCCCCCTTTTTCCAGGTCTTTGGCTATTGAGGATATTTATTTCCCCATGATCCTTGAGGATTACTGTGTGTGACTCAGACAGATTCTATTGGCATCACCCCTGGTGTTGACTAACTGCAGGATCCCCCCAGGCTGATTAACTACAAACCTTAATCCACTTCAGTCACTCGGTTGTTGGGTTAATTTGTCTTAGTTATAGATTTAAGAAATTTAGATCCAGTTCTGACCCTGGAAGGCTGTGATGTATCTACAGAAGCAGTACCTGCAGTGCTGGGAGAGGTGGTTAAATTAGTCCAACTGAGTCAATAACAAGCTGAATTAGCTTATTAAGAGCTGAGCTAGAATGAAAACTACCAGACACACAGATCCTCCAGAACCAGGACTAAACAGCCCTCCTTTAGATACACAAACTATGCCCAAGTGCTTGCAGTTGTTCATGCATGTGGGACCCTGGTCTTCCTGGAGGACAGCTCAGCAGGGCCGTGATACCTGACCAGGTGAGACAGCATGAGGTGACTCACGGTCTGCTCATCCAGCAGCCTGAAGTCCAGGTAGACCAGGTTAGGCAGGTAGGCTGTGATGAAGGTCTTATAGTTTTCATCTTTGTGAACGGGGTTTCCAGCCAAGTTCAGCGTGCGCAGCCTCTTCAACCTCCGCAAGTAAACCACCTACAAAAACAGAGGGAAATGGCAATACAGAAGATGAATTCACAGAATGTTTTTTTGGTTTTCTGCTCTACCTGCAGAGCATATTTTCTGGTGAGGTACAGATGGTTCAGTGTAAGTGTAGTCCTTGTGCATTTTGTCATGCTACTTCACATTTGCTGGATAGGCCTGTCAGTTGCTGAAATAAAGTACCTGGCAAAGTTCTTTCACAGTGAAAGACTTGTCACAAAACAAACTGCATCTCACTTTTGTACGATCACATTTCTTTTTCCCTCTCAAGACAATATTTAAAGCTAAATATTAAAATTTGTACACAAAATAAATGTGAAACAGCTCAGTCCCACTAAACTTTCTTTCTAAATTTAGAATCACCTACCTATTGCGTCCTGCCCTCCTCAAGTACACTATAATTGCCAGTGATGTGTTTTTGTGTCTCCGAATGCAGCTGCAAACCCTGCGATCACCCAGGGGGAGAATGAGGAAGTTTAGAAAGGCTGCCCCAACCCGCCCACTTCAAGCTCACTGCCTTTTAATTGTTTCAGGCACTAAACAGGTGTCTGTCGGGCGTTTGAGTGTGACTTCATTGCCGAGCCTTACGTTGTCCAGCTGGGCCAGGCAGTTATTTCCCAGGGAAAGGACCTGCAGCTGCTGAAGGGAGTCCATATTCTCGATGACGGAGATCCTGTTGTTGTACAGGCTTAGATCCTCCAGCTTCACCAAAGAGTCCAAACCCTCAATCACCTCAATATTGTTGAAAGAGAGGTCTGAGAGAAAAAGCGGTAGAGCTTGTTGGTAAAAGTCACACTGTGAATATTTATTTTAGTAATAACTTTATTTACTTTACAGAGTATATTTCATTGAATGTTATGATGAGGGAAAAGAGGTCCTGTAAAATATGTTCACTTAAACACAAATGAAATAAGTCAGACATTATTTTTGTGGTGTATAACTGTAATGCTACCTCACATTTTGATAGGAGATATTAACGATGGAGAACTTGCATCTCAGTCATAGAGACTTCTTGACATTCAACTATTCTGACCTTGTCATAAGCTACTGCAAATAAACACAGCAGATAAAATGGAGTTAATTGTATTGCACCTCACCACGGGTCTGGTCTGTAAGTGTCTAATCCTTAAATTGGGATTCCCTGCATCCTGGTACTCTGCTACCTACCAAGCCACACCAGGTTGGTCAGGCAGTCCAGCCCTTCGATCTTCTCAATGATGTTGTTGTCCAGCTGCAGCTTAGTCAACGCGGTGAACTGCCACAGGTGGTCAATCTTCAGGATGTCTGTGAAAAGGCACAAAGAGCAACAGTTTTCCTGAGAAAACAGTCTTCTCAGCTGGTGCTGACATGCAACAGTAAAATCAAAACATAGCCACCAAAAAAAAGGATCAGCAGAATTGCTTTTTTAATGCCCCTCAGACTCCCCAACAGAATGAACATGTAACGCCACTTCGTTGTACTTGTTGTGTGTAATTAACCAGAGTAGAAAGAAGCTCTATGATGGCCTGGAGGTTGCCCTAATAGGGCCTTTGCTAAATAAATCTGCCCAAGGACTCAACAGCTGCATCACATCTAACCAATAATCCCCACGACATCCCCAGCGCCCCCTGGGACTCACTCCTGTAGTCCAGGCGCAGCTGGCACACCTCTCCATACTGGATGCCCTCCTCCTTGGCGATGCTCCCGGCCTGGTCCTGGGGTCCCTGCTCCTCCACGGCCTTCTGAAGCATCTGCTCATCCACCACGCTGGGCTCCACGGTGTCGTACAGCCGGCTCATGCTTTCGTTGGCCCTGTTACTGCTTCTGCCTGCTCCCAGGCAAAAAACACACACACACACAAGCAACTCCTGGAGCGGTTGCATTAAATGATACCACTTTTTAAAGACTGGAAGACAATGAGCTCTACCACCTAATGATTGCTTCACCCATGATAAACAGGCTTCACCTATGAGCATTCTGCCCCACCCCCTTCCCAGAAAAATAAGATCTGTGGCTCTTTAACCAAGAGGATTTGGAACAGAAAGTAAAAGAGACGAGAAGTGTTCGTTTTGGAGTACTGGGAGGATATATGCTGAAAGGTGATAGCTGTTGGACACAGAGGCCTGATGCCACCAAATGGGAGCAGTTTGTGCTTTGCAGTGTGTAGTCTGCCTCTGAGGCCTGACCGCACTGGTGAAATATTAATGCTGTTCAGGTATCAAGATGCTGTGTCTTTGAACTGTGAAGGCTGAGGGACTTTCAGTATCTCAAACAGCTGTCACACAGCGTGGTCAAGGTCTGGTTAACAATCTCACTACTAATTCATGAAGCAGGCAATCCGACTGTACCCAAAATGTCAGTTTGTGCAGCGCTGCACGCCTTCGCTGTAGCTAAATTTGTAGCTAGAGGTCTCTCTGATGCAGGAGAAGGAGACAGATTAGTAGGGGACACAAAGAGATGCAGTTTGAAAATAGGATCCCAAAATACGCCCGGTGTTTAAATGCTAATGCAAACGTTCACGTCTCGCTTAACGGAAGGGAGGCATCTTTGAATTATCATGTTTTACAGAGAAAGGCATCTTAAATTCAAGGTTCCTGTTGTAAAGAGCTACTTTTTCTAGACGGCATTGCAGTGTTTACTCATTCATTACCTACTGAAACGGGAAAAACAACAATATTCGCAATTCACTTCGCAAATAAAATTACAAGCAAGAGAAAACGAGCACAGACATGACGGATTCGACATTTTTAACATGAAGTTATGCATAAATAATAATATAAAATGTATGAATAATACCGATACACATAATATTCTCACGATCAAATTAGTTTATTTCAAAGACTTTAGCAATTAGTGCAGTTTAGTTTTAAAAAAAAAGAATAAGACACCAACATACCAGTTGCAAAGCTAGTAAATCGTAATTTTGAGAAATTAAACTCTTCTCTGAAGACCCGCCTATTGCCAGACGCTTTTCACGTTACTTAGCAACCAAACACTCAACGCATCTAAATTAATTATAAAAACGTATGTAACCTAGGCTTTACAACCTCCGTTTTCCACAATAACTTGTTGATAATCCTTGTAAATAAAATGTTTTTATTTCCACATTTTATTTTTGTAATTTAGGCAAGATTGACAAACGCCTACGCCTATAAAAGATAAAAGCGCCATCAACCCGCCCCCTGCCCCGCCGAGAAGGACGTAGACCTTTACGCACCAATCCGATTGGAGGGTTACATCGCTCTCAGCCAATCAGAACGATTGCTTCGCGCGAGGGCTGGGGTGAACAACCAATCAGTACAGCTGGTCCATCGCGCAGATCTTAACCAATAGCAAATCGCCTTAGGCCAGCCGGCCCCTGGGAGGGCCTGCGGTATGCCCACCAGCGATCGCCCCCTAGAGGTGGCGTCTGCGTAGGCTTTAACTTGGAACGACGTGGAGGTTGGCCAATTAGATCGAAGCTTTAGCCCCGCCGCCCAATCAGCTGCTCAGGGGGGCGGAGACAGCGGGAGCTCCTCTGTTCAGTGCCTGTCAGTGAGGATTGTTTGTTGTCATCAAGATGGAGTTTTTATTGGGAAATCCGTACAGCACTCCGGTGGGGCAATGTATAGGTAATTGTGATTTATGTTTGTGTTTTCAGAGCTTTAACACTCATACGCATCATATTGCGTAGGTATTTTCGTGTTTTGGAGGAGTGTAAAGAGCTGTTTTGTGTGTTGTATGTCACGCAACTAATTGAATTACCAGCTCTATCCTAGCTCCTGTCTAAATGTGGTTGGCTTTTTATGGTTATTTTCCAGAGTGAAATAAGATTTGTTTTTGTTAATAATGTGTTAAATATCGTCTTCTGTATGTTTGAAGTGTGTTAGAGCTCGGGTATCGCCTGCCTCGTTTTTATCGCGATGCTCTTGAAAATGTTTGCTGTGTGGAGAGAAATATTCTCATTACAGTTTGAAACTCGCCATTCACAACAGCGACAGTTAGTCACTTTGTTCGACGGTGTCTGCTTTATTCTTTTTGTTAAGGGCGATGAACTGAGGGGTCCATTAAATACGTCACTTTCCAGAGATACCGTAAACGTAACTTTACCCAGACAGGTTACATATTTACGGTAGAGTGTCGTAAAATGAGCCCCGAGATACGTGCTATTTTGTATGCTTAAGAAACTTACAAACACACTCTTTGCGCTATAGAAAATAGATTGAGCTGGCCTGGAATTGCGTGATGTACAATCTTGCTGTGATGTAATGTACCAGGATCTCTGGCGACAGGACTTATTACCCTCGATTCGCAATCCTTGTGTTTTCACGCTTTTGAAGTCTTGCTTCCGGAGAAGGCATGAGTGCTGTGGGGGTATATCAGTGTATTCGTCCGGGAAATCAGAATAAAAGCGTTTCACGGTGTGTCGATTAATTAATCAGTGAGGAAATTCAATACAAGAGTCGCGTATTTCCACTGTAGAGATAGGGGGCGGCCTTAGAACCGCCTTTAGCGGATGGTGGTGAGTTGTAGTCTCATCGTGCCCTTCAGTTAAAACCATTTTTGTATGGTGAAGCCATGTACTGTACATAGCATTGGCAAAATATCGGGGCGTTAGTGCAACAGTATGTTAGTGTTCATGCCTGTGCGTAAGAAAGAGATCCTTTCTCTCAGGTGCCCTGAGCTTTCTTCCTATGGGCTCGACAGCTGATTCACAATGCAGAGAAAATAATGTCAAAAGTTGTAGAGGCTGTTTTACAACTGCCTACTTCAAGTTCAGCAAAAGAAGAAAATACAGTTGGATCTCTGCGATCGCAGTCCGAGAGCGTGTACCCTGAGACCTCAGCAGTAAACCCATTAGAACACAAGACAGGAGACAAACAAGCAGAGACCCTTCGGCCCGGCTAGCCTGGTCGGCAATGAGGAGTTCACTGATCCAGGGATGTCATCCAGCTGTTTCCTGAATGCTATCAACTGCAGCTAATGTTGCTGGGTAACATGTTCAGTAATCCCACAGCCCTTTGCATGAAGTACTGTTTCCAGTTCTTAGTTTTAAATCCACTTCTCTGTAGTTTCCTGTGACAATTATGACTGTTTTTTTTGTGGCTTCCCAGTTGCTGACCATCTCTCATTATTTCATATTCTGCAAAGGTGATCCTCTCCTGGAAGCGAGTTTCTGTTCATTTTCACTTGGTAGCTCCTAACCAGCAGTTGAGCAGTGGGGATCTGCCGATGAGCTAGTGTGTATTGTACAATGGTGGTCAATCTGTCATTCTGACAGTTCTCTGCACAGATTTTTTTGTTGTCCAGAGAACTGACAAACAGTTTTTTTCTTAACACACCAAAAAGAATGATTAAATCTGACAATGCTGGTTATCACAACTTGTGTTCCTGTGGAGTGTAACTGCGGGCACACTGTGCGGTGCCGTAATCACTGTGCGATTGTGCGATTGCTATAAGAGTGTGAGACCGCAGGCTCGCTGCTTGAATGAGTTTGAGTGGGTCTCGTGTGTCAGGGCCAGGGACTGCTCTTTTCACGGGCAAAAGGGCAGTGTGCTTCTTTGCCGTCACAGTCTGTGAGTCCTTTATGACGGGGCCAGTTTAATCTGAGCAGTGAGTTCTGCGGTTATTTTTGTGCTCCGCTGCATTTGCTTGGTGTGCTGATTGTTATGCAGTGGAGAGTGTTTCTCCATGATGCAGGGCTTCTTTGCTCTTGAAATCTTTTTTGAGATATGCCCTGATAAGAACTGGAGCTCCTCAGCAGCTTTTATTAGCTTGGGTGCAATAGCGGTGGTGCTATAAGGGTTGGACTCAGCCCAGAAGATAACACTGGTGTGCACAGAATAAAAGTAAGGCCTGAACACTGTGGAGTTTTAAAGCCTTATCCACGATGGGACTGAGAAGACTGCAATATATCAGACAGCTCTTCCTTGTCAGTTTTACTCTTCCAGTTTGCAGTCTCATTTTGTAGTTATAACTGGATGACTGAGTTCGTGAAAGAGTGACCTTTACTGTGTGAGACCCTGCCTAAAACAGGGTTTGTAGAGACTGGTTTTCTAGCTTTCACAAGTGTGGCTCAGGAGCGAAGAAGCCTGTGTTTACACTGATGTGACAACAGGACATTGCGAGGCTGGTGTTTCTGGAGGTCAGAAATCTTTCTGTGTTAGTTGTGTGACGTCCAGACATGTTCATGCTGTGTCCAAGTGTGGTAGTGAAGTACAGTACCCTAAGCCTCTGAGGCTGTTGTAAACTAGAGCTGTCACAGAGATTTAAGTCTAAATTTAATATAATAATGTGCATCCTTTCCAGATCAGATTGACCGATAGATTAATCTGGAAGCATTTGTTTAGATGTAGTACTTCTGGCAACACTGGTAATTATCGTTTGTATTTAATAGCTTACAGGCAAATGCCAACCACATACTTTATGAGAGCCTCTCCCTGCCAATCCTGCCAGTCCCCATCAGCATGTGGATTTGTTGTGTACTGCTTTCCAGATGGGAGGAAGACAGTTTGGCAAAGCATAGCAGCTGCTCCAGAACCCAGACAGATGTTTGTAGTTTTGCTCATCTCAAGTGTTATGTTTCTGAATGCATTAGACCCAAATCTTGTGTCATTTTTGCATCCTCTTTGCAGAGTGTCAACAGAAAAGAAGGAATTAACGCACACGCCCTACCAGAGAGCCAGAATATTTCATTGATCCACTTTATGCACAACAGGATTAATGATACTGACGCAGACACGGTTATAAATTTATATGCAAATAAAAAAATCGATTTTGAGTTGTGTGCAAAAGCCGTGTGTGTTTTGTCTTTAACCGCTGTCTCAGCCTCTGGCCAGTGATGATTAGCAACCAGATGAGATATCTGGTTCGAATGGCGTCCTCTGGTCTGCAGGCTTCCTCGTGTTTTTATAACTGTCCGATCCAGGAGTGGTCAAAGACCTCCCCTCTAGAACAGCAGCCTTATGAGTAGAGCACTTGATTGTGCTGATCCGGGGAATGTCCACAGGGCTCTCCGTTTTCCTCTTTCGAAGTCACCTCTCTCGACGTCTGCAGAGGTTTGGCTGGGCAGGCTGCAGCATGTTTTCTGTGAGCAGCTGACGGCAATAACTGCAAAATCAGTCTTAAACAAAAGCAGGCATGCCACTTTTCCCTCTTTGGCAGGGACCAGGCGACCACCTGACCCAATGCATTTTAATGATGTAGCTTTTCTGTGCTTCATGCATTGGTCTCCCTGTTGCGGGGTGTTCGCCTTTACTCAATTAAAAGTGCCCTGCCTGTTCTTTGCACCATAATTTAATCTGGAGCTCCGAGTCACTATGGAGACGGAACCAAGCAATATCCCAGAAGCAGAAGGCAATTTAATGACCTGATGGAAGTGCAGTGTTTTTACTTCAGCATCTGCAGCTTTCCTCTGTGATGTTGTGCAAGCAGTGCAGTCCTACAAGGATGGGCTTTTGAGTTCAAGCAATTCCACTCTTGACATACTGTCTTGTAGAAGTGCAGTAGCCTGTTTTCTGTGCAGTGGAGATCTGGGCGTCGTATTCGTATCATTTTAACCTCCACACTGATCCCCATTTGGCAAAGAAGTGCAGCAGAGATGTGAAATGTCACATACATCTATGATGGAACATATTTAAGGAATCCTGATATTTAAGGAATCTTTGTAGAATTAGGGTTATTTTTAACCTTTTGAAGTGTGTTCTAAAGTTACCATGCCAGGAAGTTGTTGATCTCCTTGTGATTTTAACACAAGCACATACAGTATAAACACCTAGATTATAGGTGCTACACACTACCAACACTCTGTATCTGAAGAATAAATATGATAATATAGTCAAAACCTCACTGGACCAGCAAATTCCCAAAGTGGCTTGACCAGTTTGTCTTAAAGCAAAATATGAGCAAAAACAAAGTTGTTTTTAATGCTGTTTGCTGTGGCACTATTCTCTGATGGCTGCATTGCAAGGATTCTTGCAATTTGAAGGTTGCCGTGTTGTGGCTGCAATCTCTGTAGGATGAACTGTGCATTGAGACGCTTTGCTGTGGTTTATGTAGGTTGAAATGATGTATTTTGTGGCAGAGATTGCAGCAGAAATAGACCGCGTGCACACAAAATATAGACACACACCCAAGATGCACGGCCAGGGAAAAATATGGAGGTACGACAGTGCTTTCAGGGTTTGCCACGGTCAGGATACTGGTGAAGCAGTAAGCCTTATCACCAGATTAAGACCCTGGGATCAGGGATGATCAACCCGCCTGCTTGCCTTTGAGCTCAGGTATAAAGAGGAAAGTTTCAGTCAGGGAGTTGTCCTGTCAATGAGCTGATTGGAGCTTCTCATTAACTAAGAGACTGTTTGCAGAGTCACTAGGGAGAGAGAGCGGCCCTGCAGCTCCTCGGGAGGAGAGGCTCTCAGGCTGTCGCGGCGCTCGTGAGCCTCGGGCTGCAGGCTCCTTGGAGGAACCCTTGCTGCCAGCCTGCCTCCCAGCGGGGTCCGGCGTCCCCCCTCCCACCTCTTCTCTTCGGAGGGGCAGCGAGATGTTGGCGGCTGCCGTAATTGGCTTTCCCTGCCTCCCTGGCAGCCCGAGACGCACCCACCTGGCCAGAAGAAGCCCTGCGTCTTGCTGGGGGGGGTGTAGAGTCGTTGGTCCGAGGGGCTACGTGCTCTGAAGACTGCGTTTCACACAGGCCTGCACAGTTAACAGCAGGGGGCTCTCGGATATCAGTGCTTCAGCCCCTTGCAGGCTCATCTGAGACACAAACTGGGCAGTTCCACACACGCTGAATCTTCCCCTTGATGAATATTTCATTTAAACAAAATTGCCATGGGTATAGTATTCAGGGCCAGAGCCTCAGGGAGGGACTGCTCCACACTTCCTGCAGTGCCTCGTATGTTATTTTGTTTACAAGGATAAAAAGGCAGCACGATTCACCTTGGAGAGCCAGCATCCCCTTTTGGTTTAACTCTTATGTGCTAGGGCATCTGTGATCGTGGATTAGCACACAACTGATCAGCTGAATATAGAGTGTCCTGGGGGAGTCCTGGGGTCTCAGTGCTGGTCATTGAACCTGCAACTCTGAAATGAAGTGTGGGCACAGGCAATGTAGTGACACTGGACTGTGGCTCTCTGGGATTTCTGATTTGCTGCGTCTTGCCTCCAGAGTGCGATTTGCAGGGGTGATTTGAAAGATGAGGGGTTGAGTGCCTTGATCAGCCTAGAGTGCCAAAGAGAATCTGGCAACGCAAGTGTAAAGAACAGCACTTGGAGAAGAAGGACGATTTGAGCTTTTTACTGACTTCCTTGCAGCGCCAAATCTACGTGTGCCCAAGAGAGACAGGGGCTTTGTCTCCTGTTTCTCCGCGTTTGGCCCCCTTTTTCCATTCTCTGGTAATGACTGCTTTGATGTGTCAACAGGAGTTACTGCTGAAGGTGGGAATTCTGTCAGGAGAGGCCTCCTAAACCGGGGTGCAGAACCGAGAGACAAGGGATCTCCTCCGTTGGCGTTTCAGCCCTCTGGAAAAGGACCTAAAGTCCTCTTTTTGTCTTCAGCTGTTTTCAGGGCTGAAGGACAGTGCTTTAGCTCGCGCCGCCCCTTGGGCGAGTGTATTCAAGTGCGCCAAAGCACAGCAGGGTATCGGCAGCCCCGGGGAGCGGCAGGAAGGCTGGCAGGTGAATGGAGAGCCCGCCTGACCACTGGCCGTGTTTTATTCATGATGCCTCCTGCCGCTACCTGGGAGCGCCGAGGGCTGCGCTGCCGGGCTGCCGAGAGGCCTCAGGCCTCAGGCCTCGCTCCAAAGGGCACGCGCTTGGCCTTCAGAGCAGCCTGTTTAAACTACAGCTTTGATGATGAAAGACGGGTGAAAAACAATCCCCAGGATGTTTGGGCCAGAAGGGAATTCTGCGTTTAAGGATGGAAGAGCATCTTGCCTTCTGAAAGGCTGCCGGCACGAAGGCGGTGTCTCAGACCCTTGTGGCATCACATTGACCTGAGCGAGGGGGGGTTGCTTGTACATGTTCCTGAGGTTTAAAGAAAATCCACAGAGGTGAGATCTTTTCTTTCTTTTTTACTTTGCTCGGAAAAGCTTTGCAGCATCCCAGCCGCACTTGAGAGGAAGCTGGAGTGTGGCAGTGCGTGGTGACGGGATGGGACAGGGCAGGTTCGGTGGATCCTGCTGTGTAGAGCCCCTGAGTCTGAGTGAAAGACTTTCTTTGCTCCTGCAGGGAACTATAATAATTCATTGTCAAGGAAAGCTGCGTCATTCTCTGTGTCCTGGGCTTGCAAAATCCATTTTCATATTCATGTGGCATTTCAGTCGCAGAGCGTTGCAACCGGTTGAGTTCTGAGACTGACAGAAAGAAAAAGTCGACATGCTTTGTAGCTCTGACTGCGGGGGGGTGGGGGTGGCAGAGTGTGTGCATGCTGTAACTGATTTCCTCTCTGAATAACAAGATTCAAATTGTTAGAAAAGATTTGAAGCTAATGGCGGAGCTTGACAGATGCACTGTAATGAATCTCTGTGTTCCTCAGTGTATCTTGTGGAACAAAGATCAAAAGGGAAACAAACTGTACAATAGAGATGACTTTAGGTACAGCTTAATAACCCCCCATTTCCCTTCCACATACTGCCGGGTTTTAAAGGGCACACTGTCGTGTTCCTTCAGTACTGCCTGCAGAATTAAACTGCAGTGTGGGGGGGCTGCATGCCTCCCGTGGGAGATCGATGGTCCAGAGCTCAGAGAGGGGAAGAGCTCACGGTGCCAGCTGCAGGCCCACGTGAGCACAGCTGGACAAGAGCAGCTGGCACAACAATGCCGAGCCCAGGCAGCTCGCCTTGCTAAATTTAACTGTGGGCAGATCCGAGTGACGGTGGACAGACTGCCCTGCATGGGACTGAATGCCTTTTTCAGCACCGCTAGAGACAAGGCAGTACGTCTGACATGTGCTGGGAAGAAGATAAAGATGTATTTATTTTTAAAATACTGCGGTCTTTTTACATGACATTTTTACATTTCTTTACCTTGTCATTGTAAAACAAAATAGAAGCAAAACTGTTGCCTTGTTTTCATTGAAGGAAACAAATAATCTGTATATTGGGCACTAGCAGTGGCTCAGGAGGGAACAAGTCCATTTGTTTACACTAGACAGTGGCCTTCAGTTAAAACCATCCAAGTGTAAGAACTCAGTAGCGTATCTTCTTGCTCAACAAGGATGTTTGCTCTTCTTTTCTTCTAGAAAAGGCCACAGATGGCTCCCTGCAGAGCGAAGACTGGACCTTGAACATGGAGATCTGCGACATCATCAATGAGACAGAGGAAGGGTGAGCACCTGGGAGTTATCGAGTCATGGATGCCTCACTCGTGCACTAACACGCACGCTGCTTCTTGGTTTCGGCGCATGTCACACCATTACACCTGTGGCCCCGTGCGAACGCCTGCGCAGGCACACAGACAGCAGCTCTTGCACACCAGACACACAACTGACGTGGAGGACAGAGTCTCTCTGCACACACTCGCAGAAGGCTCCACATGCAGCTCGTGCAGCTTCCTACTCTAACCATGCGTAGGCAAACAGATGAAGTCGGTGTCGGAGACCCGCTCTGGAAGATGTGCTAAACTGGTGCACCTCTGAGACCCGTCTTATTCCGAAATGTTATAGATTAAGACTAGACCCAGGGAACTTGCAGGATAATCTATTTATACCCTTTCAATTTCCTGATTTAATGGCTGAAGTCCCGAATGCCTTGAGGAAGTCTGAAAAATCATCTCGCAAATAGAAAGAAGACTTATGCTTTTTAGAAATGCCATTCGGGAAGATCTTCCTCTGCTGCTATATTAAATTGTTACCACATCTCTCTTCTGTCAGATATATGCCAACAGAGACATTTCAAACTCTCCAAAGAAGGTTAAAACATACCAAGGCTCTTAAGGCTAATGACATTTGCATCACATTTTGGGGAGAAAAAATAATTTCTAATATCTTGCACAAAGTTCTCGGTGATTTGAGTGGAGTTTCCAGAAAAACGCTACATAAGTGTAAGGATTTATTATTATTTAAAAAAGCTTTTGAGTGGATTTCTGAAGGGAGTCTTGGTCTTGGTGCAATCTCAGGGATTGTATCTTTCATGTTGAAGAATATTTCCTTTAATTCACATTGTTTGGATTTTGAGAAGGGTAGAGGGCGGGAGCTATCCCACGGCATGTCTTGGAAAAGGCACCAGAACGGATGTGTGGTAAAGCTGGAGAACCTGTTGGCTGTGGGTGTGAAGGGGACTGGGCTTGTCTCTGCAGCGCGGCTTGTCCAGGCAGGCATTCGCATTCGCGTCAGTCCCATGACAGATCACACCACTGCCCCTCTGCAGTCGTGCCGAGATTAAAGTTCCTGCATGACAGGAGCTCTGCACAGCACAAAAGGGATCTTGTTTTCAAGAGCTGGGTTGACCTCCACGTTTGTCTGTTTGTTTGCAGGATCTCTGTTGTTGGATTTCCTGCCCTATTCCTGCGTAGCTCATTCCTAAGATGACCACCCTTTCCAGAATTCTTAAACAGCATTCCTGTTGTACTTTTTCAGATACTGTTTCATGTGGGAGAAACAGGGAGATAATATATTAGAAGTTATGGCGTACAGGTAGATCAAGTAAATACAATAAAGAGATGAGACTCTCACCTTCAGTGGCCTTGGTCAATCTTTTGTGCTGCTCAATCCCTCAGGGCAGATCAGTTTCATTCAAGGAGAAAGGGGACCTATCTCAGTAGGATAGTGGGAATCCTTTCCTTACCGCAGGCCTGGAAAAAGTGATGTATGGCTTCTGGGCTCAGCGGTGGTCAGTCCAGGCATCCTTGCACCACACTGACGGGTGCAGATTCACCGTGGAAACAGTTTACTCGTCCACCTGTCTGTCGCCCTGCTGCAGCGCCAGTCCTGCGCTTCGCGGCCGGGCGCCGGTCCGAGGCGGCTCGCGGGGAGCGAGGGGAAGGGGTGGAGCCGCGGGAGGAGGAGCAGTCTGGCTGCTTTACTGCTCGTCGGCTCCCTCCCCTTTCGCCGAACCCTTTGCCTGAAGCGGGAGACGAACCCCCTCTTCCCCGTGCTTGAGCGGAGGGCCCGGGGGAAGCCGGGGAATTGCTAGGGGAACTGGATCGGGACTTAGTGACGGCCCGGGTGTGCTGTCTGTGTGGGGTGGGTGGGAACCGTGACTCAGCCGTAAGTCAATATGAAGCTTGCCACAGGATGGGCTCAGTGTAATGGGCCTGGAAAGATAATGCTTTTTCCCATTAAGATAAGGCTTTTTGCAGAGCTGCCATAAGTACACAACGCTGAGGCAGTTAATAATTAATGCACACCAATATTGTGCTGTGGGTTTTCTCAAAATTATACTTGACCGAGGGTTGTCCACTGACATTCGGCTGACTAAACCAGTCCTAGAAACCGACGGTCATGAGATCTTGGCAATATTAAACACTGTGGTACAGCCGTGTTTTTAACAATCTTCCAGAGACCTGGCGTCAGCCCATTTCGTTCCAAGGGGCTGTTTGTGATGAAATGGTGTCTGCAGGTAGATTATTAAAAAATAAATGAAATCTAGACCTGTTTGATGAGACCAGCAGGGTGTTTCAGGACTGCTCTTTCTCTATAGGGACCGGCTTGTGCTTCACAACCCCAGCTGGAACTGTGGGAATTGATCTGTCATCTTTTGTCTTGGTAGCCCGAGGGATGCCATCCGGGCCCTGAGGAAGAGGCTGAATGGAAACAGGAACTACAGGGAGGTGATGCTCGCGCTGACAGTAAGTGCGTCTGCTGTGGCAGGAAGCTGCAGCCCTGCCTTTACATCACAACCAGCAGAAAATGGGGACACCCCCTCCGTCGCCTTCAGAGCTGGCACTGCACAGGTGTTTTCTTTTGCGCAGAGATTAAATGGCACGTGCAGGACAGCAGTGTGCAGGGGTGTTTCAGAACTTGTCTTGATACTGTTTCAGGGTAAACAGAGGTCCGTCGGGCATAATGGCCTGTTCTCATCACAGCTTTGCTCACCAGCTCTATTGGCGAATGTAGTTAATCATCTCCAACAACTGCACAGTGATGTTGTGTGATTTGTCCTGACTCATCAGTATTTGTTGATCCTACAAATCTGCACTATCGCCTGACGCCTGCAGGCCATATAACTGCCCTGCATTCACTGCTAGTTTATTTTCCTTCATTCATACTTTGTTTTACAGACTCCTTTTTTAAGACTACAGAACTGATTTTTGCATACTTGTACTAGTTACAGTTCTCTGATTGTCAGTATTCCCTATCAAAACACAAACTGCAGTTTATGAACAGCTGTACTCCTTATAACTCACTCATGTGACTTAGTTCAAATGTTAACATACCAAAAGCACAAAGCTATCGCACATTTTCTTGATAAGTGGGGCATGTTGGTTCCTTTCTGTGTTTTTCTTTCTTGATTTTCTCATGGCTTGATATTCAAGGGGTTATATCACCTCTCGCTCATCAGGTGGTCTAGTGCTTATGCAACAAAGTTATTGGAGTGTATCTCAGTAGATGATGCTTCAATCGAAATAATGCCAATATCAATTAATCATTATCCAGGATTACACAACTTAATTTTTCTAAAAACATACATGTATAAAGAAAGGGACTTGTTTCCTTTGTAATTTAGTATATGATTTTAATAGCCTTTGTGAAAGGCTTCCTCTTAACTCTTAAGAGAAGGATTTTTGGTACGTGTCATCACATGATTGTTGCTTGAAAGCAGACATTCTCAATATGAGCTGGTTTAGAGGATTGGCAGAGCTACAGCTAGTTCCCCAGAAGTGGCTAGGAAGAGCTCTCTGACTGTTTTGTTGGATAGTTTAGCCTGGAGTCCTTCAGACATCAGCTAGAAAGAATCAGACCATATTTAGGATTCTACTTCTGTCTTGTGTGAATGCCTGTGCGTTTGATGTCTTGAATGGCTCTGTGCATTATATCCTTTGAATGTTCCTTTGCAGCCTTTTCGGTGGCATTGAAGGAATAGATAGCATGATGACCAGCATACAACCGGTTGAGCAAAAAGTAGCTAAATACCAGGGAATTGCGGAAGAATAAACTGCTCTGTTTAAATTGTTTGAGTTTCTGTTTCTCTCTGCCTCTGCAAGTTGCACAGCAGCTTTCTTTGTGCAGTCACTTCCTTTGCACATTGTCTGTGCATCTTCTGCTGAAATCATGTGGATCTAATTTGTTCCTGCAAATGAATTCTGTGCTAAATGAATGGCCTTCTGTTTGCACACAGTCTTGACTGATTAGCATTGCTCTCCCTACTGTAACAGGAGGCCAGATTGCGTAAGCTTGACTGGAGTTGTCAGGGCTCATTAAGGAGGTTATGTTCTTAATATTTTTTTCATTGCCTGTTTGTAAATATTATCATTCTGGTTTGCACTTGGTTGCTAAGAGCTTTGTGTACTTCAGATAGCAGGTCCCTGTTTTACTGCTGGAGAAAAATTCAGGTCTTATTAATGCCAAAGTCAACTGTTCTCTGTTAGACATGATAACAATCTGGAGGGCAGTCAATTTACTGATCTGAGCACTTTTAGAAGCTGCATACAGATAGTCTTGTGCAAGTGATTCCATTTTAAATCCCTTAACTACAATCCAATCTTGTCTTGGGTAAAACCCGTCGCTGTTGTGAAACCTGTAATTCCATTTCTGATGTGTTCACTTCTGTCTGTTCTTGCAGGTCCTGGAAACGTGTGTGAAGAATTGTGGCCATCGTTTTCATGTTCTGGTAGCCAACCGGGATTTCATTGATGGAGTCCTGGTTAAAATCATCTCCCCTAAAAGCAATCCTCCGACTATAGTGCAGGACAAAGTGCTGGCCTTGATTCAGGTACAGAACGTTGCCAGTTTAAATGTTAAAATACCTTTCACTGTGTGCAAAGTCCTTGTCAAGAAGCATCTTACTTTGCTGCGTTTAACTTCATATGTCATCCTTTCACCTGAGGAGATGGATGGATAATAGGCTCTTTTCAGCAGTACAACATCATCAGTTAAGACTCCATCTGCATCTGCTGCATTCTCACACTGCCTAATAACTCCAGTCACCCAATACTGCCACACACACATGCACAGTCTGAGGATCTGTTCAACGCCTCCACTGTCAGTAATGTCAAGTATGTCCGGTTGTGCTGCCACTCACTTGGGAGTTGTGTGGGAGGAAGAAAGGCAGTGGTCTCACCCTCTTGGTCTGAGTGGAGGGGAACTGTGATGTTGATGCGTCGATGAAGGCAGTAGGCCTAGGTGATCATTTACTGTTCATACTGTAGAGTGTTGCTGCTCGGATCACAGTGGAGTTAAAAGATGGCCGTGTGCACTTGAAGGACCAGGGTGTGGGTTAGATGGCTTGTGGACTGCAGGTGTCACGATGTGTTTGTTTTGAGAATGTGTAACAGGTAAGAATTCTGGCTTAGCTCTGTTCAGAAAGAGCATTGTGATGCAGGATATCTGTAGCTTTGTGGCTGGAGTTGCCATCATCAGTGTGCTTTATCTCTTGCGGACTGCAGCCAGGAGCACTGTGATCGTCTCTGATTACTGGGACTAGCTCAGGTGACAGGTGTGCTTCTGTGCTGGAAACTATAGGAAATTCTCAAGAACTCTGAGACTACTCAGACTACTGAATCCAGGACATATGACGATATACTGTAGATATTTTTAAAAAGTTTAATAAAATCATTAAATGAATAACATTTTTTTTTTTGCATTGATGTTATGCACAGCTTTGAGTTCTAATTAAAATCTTTCTTTTGTTAAACGCAGGCTCAGTTTTCCCACAAATATCCCCAGAAACCTCCAGAAAATGCTATTAATTCAGGAAGAGAAAGTCTGGCAACAGATGTGAAAGACTCTCAATGGGCATTTTTTATAATTTAATGTTTTTTCTCAATGGAGTACTAGTTAAAGGTGTAACATTCTACAGAAGAAGGTACCGTCTGATGCACTTGACATTTAAAGGCTGTTAGGTCATGTTTGTGTCTGTTTTTAAATTTTATCATGCCATACTTTGTGGTCTCTTTGTTTTGTGGTATTTTTCTGTCCAAATCCCAAAATCTGGCTATGCATCAGCTCCCTCAAAACTCTCCTTCTCACTGGCACTCCCCATCTGAAACTGTTCACATGTAGTCGAGGGAAGTGTGTGTGCGTGGCCGGCCTTCCTCTGGCTGAATTCCACATGACAATAGAGCAGCCTCTTCCAAGTCCACCGTCACAAGTTCAGATCTCCAGATCTGGGCTCTTCATCTGGGACAGAGACATTCCCCTTTAACAGGTGTCCCCATGCAAGCCTGGGCTGATGCCTTCAGGAGCAGTCCAGAGCTGACAGCGTTCTCTGTCTGCGCAGGCCTGGGCTGATGCCTTCAGGAGCAGTCCGGACCTGACGGGAGTGGTCCATATTTACGAGGAGCTGAAGAGGAAAGGGATTGAGTTTCCCATGGCTGACCTGGACGCTCTCTCTCCCATCCACACGCCGCAGCGGGTGAGACACACCCTCCTCTTCACTGGCACTTCAGTGTCTTTACTTAGGAGTCAGACATCGGCATCTTACAGATTCAAATCTGCTGCAAGTAAAGATTATCCTCTTTAACCCCTATACTTGCATAAAGAGTTTGTAACCATAGATTTTATTGGTGTATTTCTTAACTATTGTGTAATAAACCGGGTTGGACCAGAAGAGCTTGTTCAGCTCCATAGTCTAGAATCTGCAAACAGACTTTTGCAAGAGAAACAATAAATGTTCTTGCTGTCTTGTTTGCCTTTTAAAAAAGTATTTTGTAACCGTGATCGCTGTCATTGTTGGAACGCACGTACAACAACTTCCTTGCAGGACCATAACGTGTTGTAATGCACGTTTCACTGAGCTTCCAGAGTGTGATTTCACAAGCCCTGTCCATTCAAGCCCTGTGCTTCTGGTGGACATGTGATGACTCGAGCTGTACCAGTACAGCAAAAAATACACTCACACTTTGCAGTAGATTTCAGCATGTTCACATGATCACAACAGAACTGATGATATTCACAAACTTCTACATGCATGGCTTCATTGTGGAGCAAAAAATAAAACTAGGCATTGCTTATTCTGCATTCAATAATAATAACAGATACTAAGAGAATTATAAATGAGCTTAACTCAAGAGATGTGAAACACAGTCGAAGTTTTTAATGTCTGTCCTGTTTGGCCCGAGCATTTCGGTCAAGGTAACCCGTGTCTTTTAATTTAAAGTTGTGCGCTTTGCAGAGTGTGCCTGAGGTGGACCCTGCCACTCACATGCACAAGGCTCAGTCCCAGCCGCGCGCGGGCAGCGCCCCGCCTTTCTCCGGCACCCTGCCCCCCAGCTACTCCTCGCCGCAGGTCCCCAGCCTGCAGGTGTCGGGGCCCATCACTGCCAACTCCGAACAGGTACGCCCCTTCCTCGTACCGCTGCACGGGGGCAGCTGAATGGGAAGCACAAGTCCCGTCTTATCCCTGTAACTTTCTACACTGAGACTGAGTGACTCGGGACTATTATCTCAGTCTAACCATCTCAGAATCTGTCTTTCTGCACATCTCCTCCTCCTTCTGTCCATCTGTCACCCCCTCTGTCTTTCTGTCTAGTTTGTCTTCCAAACCGACTTGCTCTGCCGGCTGTCGTGTCCAATGCCAAGAGATCTCTGTGACGGAGGTCCTGTTGGTCTCTTGTCAACATCTGCTTCACTTGGGTGGGGAGGCAGCAATAAGTTATTGATCCTGCTGATGCTGTGTTTTATTTTATTTATGCTGTGTTGCTGTGTTTTATTTTACAAAAACACAGTTAAGGCAAAATTGCCATCATTAAAATGTTGAAAGGCTTGCTTCAGTGCCTGGGTTTTATGTTTATACCACATGTGTGATTCTGAGGATTCTGGCACCATAGGTTAAAAGAAGCGATAGGTTCACACATTTTCTAGACAATGTGCTTCTATGGAGTGTAATGGAGGATTGCAAGAGTGATCTCCCTGCTGCATTTCTCTTCAAAGTGTGGTTCTGTGCTCCTGTTCAGATTGCCCGACTGCGCAGCGAGCTGGATATCGTACGTGGGAACACCAAAGTGATGTCAGAGATGCTGACGGAGATGGTGCCCGGACAGGAGGACCCCTCAGACCACGAGCTCCTCCAGGTCAGAAGAAAGATTTCCTCTGAACAATTTCAAGATGTTGATACAGCTAAGTCCACCAGAGGGCGCTGTCTGATACAGCAGCTGATCAGTGATGGAAGCCACAGAAGGTATCAGACTGATTCTGCTGTCATTCAGAGCCCCTTAACACAAAAAATAAAATCCTAGGAGCCATGTTATTTTTTCTTAATTGTATTTATCAACTCTAATGAAGGGAAACAGCTGGTCATAGCATTTTTAAGGCTCGTGGATGAATGATTGGAGCCCTGCTTTAATGCACAAAAGGAGTACGTTGGACATGCCTTAGACAGTAGA